AGGGAGATAAAGTAAGTAAATGTGCAGCTGCACCACCAGCACTTTGTCCAACGACGGTGATATTGCCTGGATCACCTCCGAAATATGCAATATTGTCTTTGGTCCATTTTAATGCCATTACCATATCTTTCATTGCAGCATTTCCAGGAATTTCAATATTTGGATCGTCAACTCTTAGAAATCCTAAATGTCATTTATTTAGGCATAAGTATTTCAACAATTGTTAATTTTGCAACTTACCAAAGATACCTAGTCGATAATTGAATGTTACAAGTATTATATTTTCTTGTACCAAATAATCTGGACCGAACGATTCGGAATTACCGGAACCTGCTAGAAAGGCGCCACCATGAATCCAGAACATTACCGGTTTTAATTTATTTGCGGAATTATTTGGATCCTGTTGGTGCAGTGCTTAGTCAATAATTCTAATATTAAAATTTACTTAAAAATAACATTAATTACCTCTGGGGTGTATACATTTATGTAAAGACAATCTTCCGATTCGTTTTCTGCCGGTTCCGCCGAAATAGGCCAATGCTGGAAACATATACTTCTGTGTACGGTTGCATCTCTTATACCTGTCCATGATTCGGGCGGCTGGGGTGCCTAAAGTAATAGTATTATAACAAACAAGTATACTATATAAAAACGAATAGGAATTAAAGTGTTATCTTGTCTTGGAACAAAGTGTTACAAACAGTTTTCTAGGGTACCTTTTAGACAGAAAAAATACTGTTCCCGGGGGATAGAAAAAATTAGTTTAGTGTGGTCGATTTCACACCTTAACTATTCAGTCGATCAACATGAAATTTTTTAGTCACAAAAAATTAATATTATGTGTTTCTCGATGATTTTTGACACGTGTTTAGGCCATCAACGCAAGCGAAGCGGCGGGTAAAATCTAGGATCTTATACATTTTAATTTGTTAACTTCTTTTGTCATGAAATTTTCGTCCCGTATCTATTTCATTTTCTCTGTGTTTACTGTTTTTTGTTAACTAGCAACACTTACTTTTGATTTTGTAGCATTTAACTGTAATTTTTGTTGAAGTGAAACTTCTTTACGCACGGTAGGGTAAGTTTGTCTCATACGAGTTGCTATGTAACGAATTCATGCAACGGATGTCCTCCCTCTACTAGGCCACGTAGTCGAGTTCGTAGTGGGGATCGCTTGA